TTGGTTTTCCTTTTCTTTGTTGAAGAGGGTCTGTGCAATCCTTCTGCCTAGTCCGCCATCTTGCCCCGCCTCCTTAATTATTAGTTTTGTTGACCAACTGATTGTATGCTATTAAACATCATTCTAGGGGATTAATTACCACCAGGTGGCAAGGGCCAGAAGGAAAGTGTGAGTGAGGTTGAGTGGAGTTGCAAGAGCCATGGAAAGAAGAGAAAAACATGGTCCTTCTATGCTAACCCTTAAATTTTTGTGCATCCAGTTATCTTGGGATATGTTCATTACATAAAACAATGTGGATTTGGCTCTCAACCGTAAAATTCTATGTCTTAGTTAATTTACCCAAATCCAAGTAGTTCTTGAGGGCAACTTAGTACTCTCATTTCTCAGAGAAGTCTACAGCAGTGAATAAAAAGACCATGACTTTACTCTGGGTGAAAGTTAGGAACAGGGAAGAGGATGGTAAAGGGATGACAATGAATAATAATCACTCCTGCACAGTGTTTTTAATTCTCAAGACACCTTAAGAGAGCTCATCACATTGGATCTTAGAAAAGCCCCATGGGCAGTCATGATAGGTATTGTTATTTTCTGATAAGGAAGCTGGGACTCAGAGATGTTTGTTGTTGTTGTCTGTACTTGAATCAGCTCCAACTCAGGGAAACCCCATGCACAACACAAGGAAACACTGCCCAGTCCTGTGCCATCCCCATGATTGGTTAGGGATCAGATTGTGTGATCCACATGGTTTTCAGTGGCTAATCACCAGGCTTTTCTTCATCGTCCACCTTAGTCTGGAAGCTCTACTGAAACCTATTCAACATCATAGCAACACATAAGCCTCCCATTACAAAGGCGTGGTGGCTGCACTTGATGTGTATTGGCTGCGTCTCAATTCTTGCATAAAAACCAAACCAAACCCACTGCTGTTGAGTCGTCTTGGACTCATAGCAACCCCTCTTTGGGTTTCTGAGGCAGTATCACTACATAAGTAGATTATTGCCCAATCTTTCTTCCCAGGTGTGGCTGGTGGGTTTGAACTGCCAGCCTTCTGGTTAGCAGTCAAATGCCTTAGGTACCACACCACTACTAAATCACCAATGCCTCATCAGAGACATTTACTGTATTTTTATGCAAATAACAGTTTGTTTGCTAATTGTTTCTTCCTCCCAGGATGTATTTTCATAAGTGTAGCTATATTTAATTCTTTATATATTGCTGTTAAAAAATTAGTATATTTACAAAAATATCTCCTGGGGGCAAGGAGTGGTTGGCAAACAAATGTGCTATTTGCGTAAAAAAATACAGGTAGACCCTTTTATTTTCTGTCTTTCAGTAGGAATGATGATTTAGTCTGTTTCTTTAGCTGAACTATAAGCAATCACAAGTCCCCTCAGTTTTATACACTGTTCCACCCCAGGACTTAATGTAAGTGCCCCACACAGGTATATATTGGATACTAGTCAAACAGCTAAAGTTAAAAATATGATTGAAGCTGAAGTCTTAAAACTGTATCTTTTATCTACCAGGATTGTCCTTGCCACATATATATTTACCCTAAGAGCTTAGCTTCCTAGAGCTGCCATAATGCAATACTACAAATTGGGTGGCTTGCTTTAAAGACAGAAATTTATTGTCTCGCAATTTTGGAGGCTAGAAGTCCAAATCAGAGCATCAGCTTTACAGGAGGGTCCTTTCTTGTCAGTAGCCCTGAGCATTCTTTGTAGGGGGTTCCTCAGATGGTCTCTTCCCCCTGAGTGTCTAAGTCTGTACTACTGTTTATAAGACATCACTCAGAAGGAATTTGTTTGGGACCCAACCTATTCCTGTATGACTTCATTAACATAATGAATGAGAACCCCTATTTCTTAAAAAAGGTCAAAAAGGGGTTAGGACTTCAACATATATTTTTTGTGTGTGTTTTTAACTTTTTGTTATAATTTCAGTGAAAGTTTACAGAGCAAATTGGTTTTCCATTCAACAATTCACACATTTTGTTTTGTGACATTGACTGCAGTCCCCACAGTGTAACATCATTCTTCCCACTTCCTCCCTGTGTTTCTTCTTTCCCTTTGTCCTTCTTTCTTATCCTTTCCTGTCTTCCGAGCTTTAACCCTGGGCAAAAGCTGCTCTTCTGATCTCCTGTGGCTGACTGTTCTAAGGAGTGCTTACCCCTCTACTGTTACTGTTCACTTCATAGGCCTGTCTATTGCTTGGCTGAAAGCTGAGCCAACGAGGTGAGTTCAGTTCCAGGCTTGAAGGGTGACTAAGGGCTACAGTCTCAGGGGTTCCATTAGTTTCTATCAGAGTAGTAAGACTGAACTTTTTCATGATTGAGTTTTTTTTCCCCACATTTTTCTCCCACTCTTATCCCTTTCAGCTCAATCAGTAGTAGTAGCCAGGCACCATCTAGTTCTTCTGTTCTCAAGGTTGAGGAGGCTAAGGTTCTCATGGTCCATGACTCTTTTGGACTAATTATTTCCATGAATCTTTGATTTTCTTCATTCTTTGACCCAGATGGGAAGAGACCAATAATTGCATCTTAGATAGCTACTCGCTAGCTTTTTTTTTCTCTTCTCTGCAGTTCATATATTTTTTGAGGGACACAATTCAATCCATAACAAGTCTAAATATTTTTCAGTATCATTTTACCATTCATCATTTTTTCATTTTCAGTCTCTCAAGAGTATTGCAGGATGCTATTTTTATTTACTTTCTTCTCTTGTTTTTACTCCTTTTGAACAGATGATGGGAATAGAATAGTCAGATTTCAGGTCTAGGACTGGATAAAAGGATGTTCAGATTCTGTTTTTTTCCTAAGATTGTTTATATTGTTATATAGAATACGGCTTTTTTTTTTTTTTTGGGGGGGGGGGAGTCTTTCAGGAGTGAATCACTGTTATTCTTTATTGATTATAATTTACCAAAATAGAAATATTTTACTTTCTGGTAGCTTAAAACTGCCAGCAACCCAGCACACAGATGCTTAGAAATGTTAGGCTCATGAAAGCCATTTGCCTTAGCTTTCTGACTAAATTTCCTACATGTCAATCCCATTCACACTGGTCGATCTACTCACTGTATGTGACCAACTCCACCAGGACGTAGAGGCACATTCAATGGCAAACCTGCAATTCCCTCAGGGAGAGTAACATTTAACTTATGAAATCACGTGATAGAACACTGCGGCCACACTGTAAATTACATGAATGTGACCCTTTCACCTATGGAGTTTCAATTTTATCTTGTATTTAACGTATTAACAAAGAAGCCACACTTACATATCATCGAAGACAAGCTTCTGCCTCTTGCAGTCCCTGTGACCATTGGAGACTGGAGACCATGGCTCTGTTTGTAGGCGTGACTTGTTGTGGAGGAGAACGTTTTCGGAATTGTTGTGTGCTGCTTTCTAAACAACAAATAACACACAAGTCTTTGAGAAATTGGGCAGCTGGTTGACAGTTCAGCTCATTAAATAGCTTTTGTTCTATGTTCTATATTATAATTGATGGTGCTTTTTTGCTTAAAGAAAGAAAAATAAGTGCATGTATTTTAGATCTCAAGCTAAGGGATTTCACACATTGTCCAATGTCATCCTCTCATAGTATCAGAAAAGGAAGTCATCTTATGCCTACTCTCACAAGTACAGAAACTGAAGCTTAGGGAGGTTAAGTAACTGTAACTTGTCCAGGTTCAAATAGCCACCATGGAGGGAGGCCAGGGATTAGGATTTGGTTTAGGATTAAGGTCCCTACTTTTTCCAGTCTGCTGGACCAGTGATTCTCCAAGTTCACAGGGCATCAGAATCACTCAAGGGACTTGTTAAAATACAGATTGCTGGGACCCTCTCTCAGAGTTGCTCGTCCAGTAGGTCTGGGGCAGGGCCTGAGAGTCTGCATTTCTAACAAATTCCTAGGTGCTACGGATACTGATGGTCCAGGAACCAAGTTTTCAGAAACACCGCATTATCCTCTCCCTCACAAAAGAGAGGTTGTCCAAGGCACAAATTAACTGGTTCTCATTAGCTATCTGGGAAGAATGTGAAAATCCAAAAGGAATTATTAGAAATTATTTAAAATGTATTGTTTTTAAAAGAACACTATTGATTTGTGGAAAAATTAAAAAATCATATTCCCTGGGGATATATGGTCCTTCTGCAAATATTTATAGAGCATCTATTGCATGCTAAACACATGGATCATCAAACAACTATATTTGATTATGAAATGCAAATTGATTCTCCAAACTCGCTAAAGTTCCATGTATACAAATGCTTTTTCACATATAGACTGATTTTATGTGTAATATTTTAAGGGTCAATAATATTGTTATAGATGACGAGGTAAACATTATGCTAAGCTTCCAAAATCTCCCAATTGTGTCTACTTGCTCTTGACAAAAGAACAAAATCAGGAACCTGGTCTCTATAGCCTGGCCCTTGTCTGTCTCTCAGGCATACCCTCTGTACTCTCTGAGCCTCTGCTTCTTGGGCCGGTTGTCAGTTCCCCCCCGAAGGACCTTTGCATGTGCTGCTTCCTTTTCCTGTAACATTCTGCACTCCTTACTTTACTGTTACTTGTTTTTCAGCCAGCCTATATTAAGAATCAGCAACCCACACAGCCTGTGACCTGAACCTGCCCATTTTTAGAAACAAAATTTTACTGGAAACTAGTCATGCTCACTTATTTATATATTCTATGGCTGCTTTCATGCTACAGTCACAGAGTTGAATAGTTGTGACAGAGACTGTGTGGCCCACATAGCCTAAAATATATATTATCTGGCCCTTTACAATAGCAGTTCTCAACCAGGGGCAATATGGCATTATCTAGAGACATTATGTGTAGATGGGGTTATGTACTCTAATGAGTAGAGACCAGGGATCCTATTAACCATCCAACAATGTGCCAGACAGTTCCCTACCACAAAGCATTATCTGCCAATAGTGTTGACAAAGCCTGCTTTACTGAAAGTTGGCCAAATTCTGTCGTAGATCAAGCCTCTTTACCCTGTCTTCTGTGCATTTCCTTTTTGGCCCCTGTGGCAGTTGTGAATTATGGATGTAAGCTTCATGTGAGCACAGAAAGAACCTGTTAGATCATCATAGCATCACTGGTGCTTAGTACATTGCCTCGCATAAACAGTTGCTCAATACACTCCATTTAGTGGAAGAAATGACTACATAAAATCTGTAATTGGTTTCTAATTCTCTGTATCATATATGCTTGTGATATAAGGATCTAGAGCAAAGAAAGTTTTTTTTTTTTTTTTTTTTCCTTTAAAAAAACTCCCAAATTTGCAATGGTTAGCTTTTCATTCTATGTTTTTCTAACATGGATTTCTTAGATTCCTTAAGGGTAGTATTTTTGTTTGCTAACTGTCAAGTTGGCCCCTGACTCATGGCTAAGAGGGTTACTTTCCTCACGATGTAATAGGCATTATGCACTTGCAGAATCTTCTATCAAATGTTACATCTTCAACTCATAGGATAGTGTGTTAAATATTGTCCCCACTCCTCGGAAGGAAGGTTGGGCAATCCTACTTCCGTAATGATACTGCCTCGGAAATCCAGAAACCCAAGGAGGGGTCGCTATGAGTCGGGTTTGACTCGACGGCACATAACAACAATTCCTGCTTTGCAGTCTTTCAGCATACTTCGGACTCCTCTCACTTACCTGTCTCACAAAGCCCTGCTGGTTCTGACAGTACAGTGATCTGGGGCAACAGCTCAGTTGTGGGGAGAGTTTGGAATGAAATAATATAGCCCAGAGGATGAGCAATGTAGGGTCACTAGCTGTTAGAGAAGAGGGTGGAAGTGGAGAGGAACTAACATGTAGTGTTAACTGCACAGGTGGTGGGTTCTTTAGATATTGTCTCATTGAAATCCTATGATCGCCATTTTACAGATATAGAAACAGACCCTGAGAGATTAAGAAACTGGCTCAAAGGTTACATGGTAGCTAAGGTGAGGATGATGTTGTTAGAGTGTGGGGACCACAAAGATGGGGAAATGGGAATGGACTTAGTTGAAAATTTCTACCAGCCCTCATATTTTCTAAGCCAATTTGAGGTTGGGTTATGCGACTATAGAAGAGTAAGGAGAATGAGTAGAACCCAGAACTGCTTTACTTACATTTTGTTTGTTGTATTCTGGAACCATTTGGCACCACTGTGAGAGGAATGGAAGAAGATAGCTGGGAATATAGGCAGTTGCCCCCTAGCTAGGCTACCATGGGGAGGTTAAACCACTTGCTGTTGAGTTGATTCTGACTCATTGGAGACCTCATGTGTAGAGCAGAACAGCTTCATAGGATTCTCAAGGCTATGACCTTTTGGAAGCAGATTCCTAGTCCTGTCTTCTGCAGTCCTGCTGGGTGGGTTCAGACAGTCAACTTTCAGGTTAGCAGTAGAATGCAAACCATCTGCACCACCTAAGGACCTGGTGGCTAAGATAGGAGGCCAGGCTGTAAACCCAAGTCTGCTGCCTTTCCACAGGAGCGTCGAGCGCCTCTGGGAATCACTCCTGAGATCCCAGGAAGAGGGAGCAGTTGTGTGAAGCTGCACTGTGGCCACAACTTGGGTCAACAAGGCAGAGGGGGAGCTCCAGGGATTTGGCATGGGGTTTCAAACTCAGATTTAATTCTGCAAGCAATCTTTTCAAATAAAAGGCTTGGTTGGTTCAAAACTCCCATTTCTGGGAGTTCAAAACTACCCAAAATACCCAATGTGATTGTGTTGGGTCCTTTTCAGGATGGGAAATAAAATCCTACAAAAAGGCCTCTGCTGAAAAGCAGAAGAGGCTTAAAAAGCCCCTTTCAGTTTTTTCTTCCTCAGGCCCCCTGTGGGGAGAGGTGGAGGGTGCTCTATTTTCTAGGTCTCCCCAGAAACAGCATTTAGGGACTCTTTGTGGGATTCCGAGCATATGTTTAAACTGTGCTAAGATACAGACAAGCAGCCTTGATGGTGCAAAGGTTAAGTATTCAATTGCTGGCTGAAAGGTTGGGGGTTAGAATCTACCCAGTGGCTCTGAGGGAAAAGACCTGATGATCTGCTTCTGTGAAGGTCACAGTCATGAAAACCCTACGGAGCAGTTGTACTTTGTCACGTGGGGGTTACTAAGAGTCGAAATTGACTTGAGGGCACTCAACAACAAGAAGCTAGAGGCAAATGGAGTGGGGGTGTGTGCCCAATGTCATTTTAGTTTTGACTGGGAAAGGAAGAACATAAACATACCGTGAGGTCTCCAGTATGAGACGGCAGCTGGTTCTCAGCCTTATGCTTTTTGTTGGAGGAGGTGGAAGTGAACAGACCAGTGCTGTTAGGTCTGCTGGACGAAGTTAAGTCCTCACTGGAGTATTTGTGTTTGGATGCATCGGAGAGGGGCGAGATGGGTGACCGGAGCATTTTTTCATTTTTATTTATTGGTATTGCCAAGCTGAAAAAGGAAATTACAGTAATGGAATGTCACACAATCAGCACAGGGAAAGGTAAATGTTTTATATATGACCCAAACTTCCCATTTAAAACCTGCTGGCAGATGAAGTTTACTGGGAATTTATACCAGGAAACAAGTTTATGGTATTAGGACCATAACAATCAATCAACAAATTTTGTTCATTGTTTCTTTTCCTATTAGGATGAAAGGTAATGCTAGCATCAGCACCAAAGTAAATGACTAAGAATAATCATACTTTCCTTGTCTGAATTTTCATCCAAAATTCATCCATTTTCCCAAAGTATAAGCAGCAAGTAATGAAAAAAATCACTTAACAATGATAAACAAGTTTTTCATTTCTAGAAAGAATTTTGCTAACATTTGTGCTTGTACTAATTATTATACAGAAACTAACAGGACCACAAATAACCTGCAAAGCATGAAACCAAATTTTAATTTGAGTTAACCTTGTTGAAATAAAAACAGAATAGAAAAACTGTCATTAGAAGCTATTTTTTTTTCATTACGTATCTTCAAAACTACCATATATACCTGAGGTGTAGTAAATTACTTAGTGTGGCTTTTCTAGCCATTGTTGTTGTTATTTGCCATCAAGTCGGCCCTGACTCATAGTGACCCCTCCTTGGGTTTCCAAGGCAGTGTCACTATGGAAGTAGATTGCCTCATCTTCCTTCTGAGGAGTGGCAAGTGGGTTTGAACTGCCAGCCTTCTGGTTAGCAGTCAAGTGCCTTAGGCACTATGCCACCAGAGCTCTTTGTAAACTCCATGGTGGAATTTGCTGTGAGAAACTGAGTAGCTCCTGATTGTTAAAGTTATCCACCTGGGGTATTTCTGTTGGGTGCATCACAAAGTAACTTTCTGGGAAGTTCTGTCTCTCTCAGGTGTATAGAATTCTGATGTTGGGATTGGTTAGTGGCCACTCTGCCAGGCTCAAAAGGAGCCCTTCTAGAGGCAGAAGGAGGCTCTCTGACTGCTGGCTGAGAAAGACGTGCTGCTGAGAGAAACATGCTCCTGAGAGATATGCACTGCTGAGAAAGAGACACTGAGAGACATGTGTTGCTGAGTGAGACTTAGCGTTTTTCCTGAACTTGAATTGTAGCCTGGCGCTTCCCTAATAAACCCCATAATCTGTGAATTTTATGTGGCCACTGCAGCAAATTAGTGAACCCAGCAGAGAGGTGGTGGGTGCTGCAGGAGGAATGGTTGGTGTCAAGGGTTTTGAAAGGGCTGGAGGGAAGCAGCATGTCTACCCTCTCAGGAATAGGCCTTGGGCTATTGATGGTGATTCTGTCTTCTTCTTGTGGGGTTAGAGGTGGTCAGAAGATGTGGCCTCCCTGCCTCTTTGACAAAACCTGAATATAATGCTCCCAAAAAGTAACCATGAAAAAAGAGGGAGGTACTTACATTTGAGACTTTACAATGTAGATCTTATTGCTGGGTTCCTCTATTACTTTATTTTGGAAAACAGTAGTATTGTTTGGGGAAGACACATTAGTCTGAAATAAACTCAATCACTGCTAATTTAGGATGTTTACAGAGGTCACCTGATAAGAGTCAGTAAGAAAGGTACAGCCATTTAACAAAGATTTACTCATTCCTAGGGTTATGACCTCTTAATTGCACGTGTTGGCTATCATTGCAAACAAGCCATTAAAAGCCACTTCAAAGAGCAATTTTCTTAGTTGGTGGTCACAGTGTAGAAATCACAAACACAGGTCTTGAGAACAAATGATAACATCAAGGTTCTTAATGTTACTCAAATACATACACAAGGGAATACACAGGTCTTGAGAACAAATGATAACACCAAGGTTCTTAATGTTATTCAAATACATACACAAGGGAATTGAATTTCTCGTGATAGATTTCTGGCTCAAAAAGCACTGTGTGTCTAACAACTTAGAAAGAAGTGAGATGTGTTCTGGAAAATGGCTTCGGGCTAGTCAGAAAATGGCTTAGCTAATGATGATGAAGATGCTGAAGATGGATATGAAGTTTGAATACAATTTCCTCTTAAAATGTGAGTGAAAAAAGTAGTTTTCTAAATTTGTATTGTTTCACATACCACATGAGTTTAAATGTACGTATAAAATTAAACTATTAAATACTGCAGCAGGCACATGGGAGTCCCTGGGTGGCACAAATGGTTAAGCACTGAACTACTAACCAAAAGGTGGGCAGTTTGAACCCACCCAGAGGTGCTTCAGAAGAAAGGTCTGGTGATTTCCTTCCAAAAGGTTACAGCCTTGAAAACCCCATGGCATGCAGTTCTACTCTTCACACATGGGTTTGCCATGAGTTGGAATCACGGCCAATCAATGGCAACTGGTTTTTTTTGGTTAGTAGGCATGATTAGCCTTTCTTCATTATTGCAAGTTTACATATTCAAGTTGACCAAAGAACTTTATTTGGATCTTCTCTTTGGGATGGGATTGGGATAGCCTTATCAGGCCGGTAAAACTTATCCAGTAGTAGTCACTAATCACAATTGAAGATAAGACACAGCCTACCTTTCCTAGGAAGAACTCAAAGCACATTCCCATGCACTGTGTCATTACCTAAATTACATTAAAAAAAAAATCAGGGCTATGGGGTGCTGCTAGCATAGTGCCTAAGGCACTTGACTGCTAACCAGAAGGCTGGCGGTTCAAACCTACCAGCCACTCCTCGGAAGAAAGGCTGGGCAATCCTACTTCTGTAGTGATACTGCCTTGGAAACCCAAGGAGGGGTTGCTATGAGTCAGGGCCGACTCAATGGCACATAACAACAACAACAACATGGGGTGCTGCTAGGCAAAGGGGCTACAAGCAGGAGTTTTTAACCTGGGGCCTGTGAACTTGGGTGGAAAAAAGTTCTATCTAAACTCTAACTGAAATTGAATTTAGGAATGAAGGCAAGAAACCAGAGTAATGGTTTAGTAGTTTAGTAGTAATAATATTAGTATTACCTGTGATTGTGTCACCAGGAGAAATCAGAGAAATATTCCTATTACCGTTGTTGCTGACATCTCGAACTATTGCTTACATTCATCAGTACTTGGACATTTCTGTAGTTATTAGATCTGCTAGAAATATTGTTTAAGGGGCCCTGGTGGTGCATGGGTTAAGTGCTCAGCTGCTAATGTAACAGCTAGCAGTTTGAACCCACCCAGTGGCTCTGCTGGAGAAAGACCTGGAGATCTGCATCTGTAAAGATAACAGTCTGGGAAACTCTATGGGGCAGTTCTAGTCTGTCACATAAACTCACTATGGGTTGGAATCCACTCAACGGCACCTAACAACAGAAATATTGTTTAATGCATTAACTAAGAAGCACATATACAACTACATGACACATTTAAAAAATCTTTGGGGACCACATGCATCTGCTGTGCACACAGGGACTTAGGGACTGGATCGTACGCATGTCCAGCTTTCCTCCTGCTCGGGCCTTCCCGAGTCCTTGCCCTCCTTCACAAGGTGATTCCTGGCACTATAGTGGGCCTGTGTGCCCTTGCTCTCCAATTTCCTCTCCGAGTTTTAGTACTGCTCTACATCTTTTCCTAACCTTTCCGTTTACATTTTTATGTATTGTGCTGCCCATTAATCTCCCCTTAAAAATACTTATGTATACAGTCAGGGAGACTGAGGAGTGTCTTCACAGAGGAAAAGTGGTTTCCAGGCTGTGGTATTTCTAGATGGAAAGAACTTCGATGACTGATGAGAAGCTCCTAGCTTATAATAAATATCTGGGACCTTGCCTTGCTAGAAAGCTATTTATCACAGAGGGGATTTGGTCCCACGTGAGTCCATTCGAACCCCTGTAGGGGAAGGGTGAGAGGACCTTGCTGTGTGGCAGTTTAACCTTGAAGGCACAGATCCCATGTGACACCACAATTTCAGTCTTATATGCATGAGCTCTGGATGGTACACCATATGGGTGTTCCTCTCCAAGTTCGTATTTCTTAATTTGTGTAATAAGCTTAGTGTCATGAGTTTTTTTATTGTTGTTATTATTAGATGGTAGAGTCGGCCTTGGACTCACGGTGACCCGAGCACAATGGGACAAAATGCTTTCTGGGCCTGTGCCATCCCCCAGATTGGCTGTGGCCTGGCCGACTGTGATCACAGGGCTTTCCCTGGCTGATTTTTGGAAGCAGAGTGCTAGGCCTTTTTTCCTAGTCTGCCTTAGTCTGGAAGCTCTGCTGAAACCTGCAAGCCTCCACTGGCCACTGGCAGACAGGTGGTGGCTGCACGTGGGTGCACTGGGCAAGAACTGAAGCTGGGGAAGGTGAGAATTCTACCACTTAACCAGCAGGACCAATGTCCACCTTATGAGTTTAGCTACTACTGGTAAAATAAGGGTTTGAAATTCTGGTTAATAAGTTTTCAGGGGGAAGGGTGTGTTCTTGGGGAGTGCAAAACTATGTGTTTAAAATAATGCTTTCTGGGTAAAACAAAAGGGAAAAAGGAATCACATACCAATGTGGAGCTGTGGTGTGAGGTGCACTTCTAGCCATAATTATAACTGTTAGATTAAACCGAAGGAAGCAAGTCTGGAGATCCAGATTGAGACCACTCATTAAAAATCTGACTGTCCTCCTGTATAACAGAAGACGCTCAGATCCAGGTATGCTTCCAGCTTAGTTCCACTTTCGAGGGGACCACATACCTGCTGATGCTCATGCTGCAGTGGTTTGCAGACACAGTATTATTGGCTGAAGTGGTCAGTCGGGATGAGCTGTCCTTCTCTACCTGGGCCTTCTTGCTCTCTCTGTAGTCATCTTCATTTTCACACTGTATCCAGATAAGAGAAAACCAATCAGCTTCGGCTTTCAAGGGGCCATAACAAGCTCAGGGTTACTGACTTCCCCAGAGAAGGGCCCTCTCAGAAGACTCGCTCATCAGCTTCTTCTGAGAAGGCAATGTGATCACATCACTCCTGCCCCAGTTCCTGGTCAGCTCCTGGGTGAACAAGGCTATGTTCTGTCAGTTTGACTATTGACAGTTTACTGAGAGGGAAGTCCAACTTCATGATCAAAATTCTAGAGGAAACATTTTGAACTATGGAAAATACTCTGCCATCAACAGGCCTAGGGCTTAACACTCCAAAGGAAATTGGATTTTTGAATTCATGCTGTAGCTTCAGCATCACTCATTCTGGCATTTCCTGGTATTAGAATATGATATAACAACTTCATGTTCTCTGGGTTTAATGGGTTAAGGGCAGTGACAAGCTGGGTTTTTCTTATGAAATTCATACCTTTTATGAATTTCAAGCAGAGGTTGTTACATGCTAGTGCCTTAAATTTAATTAACTATTTCATGACATCTTAGAATCCTTACAGTACTTGTTAGTAAAACTATACTATGGATTCTTGTTTAGAAGATGATGTTTAATATGTGTCACCAGACTTTGTCTCACCTACTTTGGTCATGTTGTCAGAAGGGACCATTCCCTGGAGAAGGATATCATGCTTGGTAAAGTGGAGGGTCAAGGAAAAAGTGGAAGGCCCTCAAGAAGATGGCATGACACAGTGGCTGCAGTGATGGGCTCAGGTATAGCAGGGATTGTGAGGCTGGCACAGGACCAGGCAGTGTTTCATTCTGTTGTACATAGGGTCACTATGAGTTGGAGCTGACTTGACAACACCTAACAACAACAACATGTGTTAGAGTGCAGTGCAAATGCATGTAACAAACTTCCATTCTCTGTGAGACAGCAGGACCATGGCAACAACATAGGCAAGCTCTCTGAGGCCTTTTCTAGGAGACAAGCTCAGTATCCAAGATAGAAAGACTATGACCTTCTCTCCCTAGCTGGGACTGTGTAACCACAGTCTCTGTCACAGGGGTCCTTGATGCTCACACTGAAAGAATGCTCTGGTGGAGGGCCCACACCAAAGCTCCGAGTCCCCAGTCCCTGGCTCAGTGGGGCAGGGCTCAGCACCACTGGCAGTCAGGCCTACCCATATCTTGCCCAGTACTGGGGCCTTGGTGCTGCAAGATGCTGAGTAAAGAGTGCTACAAAAATGTTCATTCACTTCTCATGTGCCTGTGTTTACTGATGAGTCATTAGATTTTATGAGTAGAGCTGGGTAATAGGCTTAGAAAAAATGAAGTTGCATAAATTAGAATGACAAAAGCCATGAATAAAAATTTCAAGACACAGAGTATTATGGGATATCTCTCTCAATATATCATTATATGTCTATATGTATTTCCAATTTACATGTGTATCAAGTTCTATCTTTGTATATACTCTTTATATATATGCATATATATTTCCATCAGCCTGTCCATTTATCCATCAATTCCATAGGTAATATCTCCACTCATCTCCAGGTGACTGACTAATTCATTCAACAAAAATTAATTGAGTACTTACTAAGTACAAGGTAATGTATTAGATTCTGGGGAAAATTAAAAAATCTGACAAAATCTAATTCTGGTATTTTTGATTTAAGGAATTCAAAATCATATAAACAATTATAGCATGAAAAGAGTGAAACACAGAATACTGTGAAGATACAGAGGCAGGAGCTACAAATTCTGATAAGAACTGTACATGGCTTCCAAAAACACCTGCCATGTTTCTACAGCTTTCCCATCTGCAAGCAACATCTCGTGATGGGTATGAATTTCTGATCAGGGGCCACCAAACCTCTGGGTGCAGCACACAAATGGCTGGCCATGCTGGGTGGGCAAGGGAGGAAGCAGACCCTGGCTAAGTCATCAACAAACATTTACTGAGTGCCTACTTTGTGCCAGGCACCCTTCTAGGCACTAGAAATATATTAGTTAACAAAAAGACATCAATTCCTACTCTTAAGCGGCTTATATCCCTGTGGTCCATTTTCCTAACTGACCCCTCCCCCTCAACATTGGTGTTGCAGAGAATCTTAAATGTTGCTGTAGTGTCCTGAGGGATTTGAAACACGGATCTTTCAGTTAGCAGCTGAGTGCTTAACTGCTGTGCCACCAGGGCTCCTTTGTAGTGTCCTAATGTGTCTTAATCTGGTAGTGAGTCCCAGAAATGGAGACTTGATGTAGACTTGTTGCCAGGTCTCCCCTCCTGCCAGTTATTAGACTCAATGCCTTGTCATGTGGGCAAATGGGGTATCCCTCTAAATGCCACCTTGAAGTGCATTTTACTCCTTTCTTCACACTCACTTGCTACAATTAATAAGTATTTATGGCAAGGCCTGCAGTCTTCCTTCATGGTGAAGACATTTAGAAGAGACCACTTTCAGGGAGTGAGGCAGTGTGCTCTCCTCCCCCTTCCGGTTTTAAAATCCCCTTTCCTCCCATCAGGATGCCCTTGCTTTGATCTGATTCTCTAACACTGACCTATGGCCCTAGTGGTTTTAAAATCACAGGGCTCTGTGGGGGTTGCTGGCAATGCTAAGAGATTAAGGAGGTTCTGTGGACTGTAGTGGGCAGAGATGGCTGCATCTCCTACCCATTAAACATTTCTACATACTTGGAAAACAGACCCTGAAAAATGACACAGGACTCAGTTCCCCAAAGGGTGTGACTGGAATCTGAGATAGATTACAAAGGAAGTTTACAGCATGTCCTGATGTGGGAGGGAGGACAGAGAGCGCATCTGCCTCAGCAGATGTTTGGCCACCAAAAAGTAATGAGGACAAGGCGCCTAGAAGGAAACAATAGGGAAGAGAGGTGGGGAAAAGTGAGCTAACATGTATTACTGAATTACGTGTCTGAATACATTGTCCAAACCTGAAAAAATGTCACCCTTTAAAGATGAAGAGACTTAAGTTCAGAGAAGGTAAGTAGCTTGATGAAGGCCAGGGCTGACCATATAATTTGTAGGGTCCGGCATACAGTAAAAATGTAGGGTCCCTTGTTCAAAAAGTAGGAAAAGAATGATGTTATAAAGTACTAACCATTTCCCTTTCTTTTGGAGTTTCTCTCTCGACTTGGCATGGGGCTTTTCATTTGCTATTTAATATGGTTCTCCCAGGGCATCCGGATAATTGTAGGGTGAGGGTAGATGCTCTCAAGCACTTGGACTTGGCCCATGCACATGGCCCAACAGTTGCCAGGTCTCCCCTTCTGCCAGTTATTAGACTCAATCCTCTGCCCTAGCAGGAGCAGGTGGGGAAGTCCAGTCAGGCATCTCCCCTTCTCATAGCCCAACTCCTGCTGAACAGATAACCCCCAAGTAATTGCAAACTCCATGCCCAGATGCCTTAGTACCTGGATGGGTGCCGGATCAGACACTGATCCTGACCATCCCTGTGCTTACATGTAGGCCCCTGCTGGGGATAGAAAGTGCCATTGGTTGCTGGGTGGAGAGGGGGAGGGCAAGGCTGAGTGAGGGCCTGGGATTCAGGGGCAGAAGAGAGGGTGGCAAAGAGACAGCCTGTCCCACCAAATTGGAGGAATGGAGGGCACATATGAGTTAAAACTTTAATCCCTCTTCCCATGCTCCACTGTGATATCAGATTTCACTTACAAAACATAAGTTAAAAGATGAGAGCATTAAGATTGCATCCATGTGCATTAAACTCTAAGTGTTTCGCCCTCTGAGCACAGGGACCTGTGCGACTGCACTGGCTGCACAGGGCCCATGAAACTGGCCCTACATGGTAAAATTGGGATTCAAGGTCAGGTCAATCTGGTATCAAACTCCACATACTTTATACTATATGAAAGTAGTCTGAGGAGCAATGGGGAATTCAGCCATTGGGAACTAATAGAGGTTAACAGTCAATGGTAACAGAAAATACCCCGGAGCACCCTTATAAAATTGTCTTTGCATACATACAAAGAGGAAAGGCCAACACCTGCCTTTTGAAACTATTTAATTCCATGAACTTTCTTGCAAGGGGTTCAGATTCTATTCTGTAGGGATATATATAAGTTATTTTGTGAAGAAATACATTCCTCGGTATTTTAGAATAACTTTCTCTAGAGACAGTACCCTGTAGTTGTCTTCAGGTCACTAAGATGTCTGTCATAGCAAGGAGACTATATCTTGTCTCTCTGTACACATTTTCAAAATGAGGAATATATTAATCTTGGCCCAGAAAAGGCAATAAACCTTATTCTTCAATTCTTCTCTCACTCAAGGATTTGAAACAGCTGTAAAACTTACATGTCGAGTCCAGCATTTCTCTGGACAGACCAGACTGCCCTTTAAAAACTGTGAAGTACTACACATAACTCAGGTTGAATTATTATTGAGAGACTCTGGGGCCAGACAGCCTGGGCTCATTCCTGGCTCTGTCTTTTATGATATGCATGACCTTGGATAAGTCACTTTATCTTCTCTAAGCCTCAGTTTCCTCACCTGTAAACTGAGTGTGATGATAATATTTGCCTTACTTAACACAGACAAAATGCTTAGGACAGTATCCTGAATGGAGAAATACTTGTGTTAACTGTTGTTGCTAACGACTTTGTCCTAAATTTGGAGCTATCTATGACTAATGTTTGGTTTGCTACTTATTGTGTTTTCACTGTGATCGAAATTACTTGTGAAGATATAGTAACAGGAGGGGATAAAATTCCTCGAAATTGGCTTTAATGTATGATCAAGTTATGCTTCTGCTCAAAAACCTTCAAAAATTGGCTGAGCAGTCAGGATCTGCTTCCAGACCCATCTCCAGCTCTCCCTGTACTTGTGCTGCCCTTCTTACTCCCACATATCTGCTCACTGAGGTGTAACTTCATCCCTGACACTTCACTTGTTCAAGTGCTCTTCCTTAAGTGGCCTGTTCCCAGGCCCTTTCAATGCAAAGCCCTCCCTGATCATCATTATTGAATGCTACAGGCTGAGGTTACCCTCACAGTGCCCTGTCTACCCACTGCCTGGGGTCAGGGGCTTTTGTATTCATATTTTACCCCAGTCACATGCCTCCTTGAGGCTGTTGACTTCTTAGGTCTATGAGAGATCCTTATAATCGATGTCACCCCATCTGTCCCAGAAAAGAATGGGGTGCATTATGTCTTTAGCTTTTTTTCATATGCCTATCATCCAGTTCGTATCTGCACGTACTCAGTAAATACTTTTTGTACGACTATTTAAATGTAACAGAACAGGGCTTAACTATCTACAGTTATAAAACGGGAATAATAATAGTACTTACCTTATCGAGCGGTTCTAAGGATTTAATTGAGTTAACACATATAAAGTATAGAACAGTATTTGTCATATATTCAGTATTTTCTGAGTGTTGCAGTTCCTGGATGGTGAAACAGTTAACAACACTTGGCTGCTAACTGAAAGATTGGAGGTGCAAGTCCACCAAGAGGTACCGTGGAAGAAAGTCCTGCCAATCTACTTCTGCAAGAAATCTGCCACTGAAAACCCTATGGAGTTCTACTCTGACACACGTGGTTGACATATGTCCAGCTGATTCCATGGCAGCATTCATAAAACTCCTGCTGCCATGTGTAGTACAGAACCAGGAGCCTACTTGTGTTCTACTACTTTGTCCACATATTAAAGGTAAGTCCTTCTTTCCCTCCACACCCTCAGCCCCAGGCTTACCTTGCGTTTCCTCTTGGATTTTGGCAAAGTCTTTTCAGGGGGTGCATCTGACAAGAGGCTCAGTGGCGCGCTCTCTGCATCCTTGGCTGCAGAAGTGCTCAAGGCCACGGGCTCCTGGGGCAGGTGTTCTGGGATCCTGGACAGGAGGGTCAGGTCAATTTTGACCCAAAGGGACCTGACCTCATCACTGTCCTTCAGGGGGGAGAGAAGTTCATTCCGGCCAAAGGGGACCAGTGTGTAGAACTGCTCCTCCAGCTCCTTGGCAATGTCACTGGTGGTCCTGGCGTTGATGGAGCCAACAGGGGCCCGGGGCCCACTCCCACTGCTAATGCTGTTCGCAGCCTCCTTCAGCCTCTGGTCACTCCCAGAGGACAAGGAGGAGGGGGCTGTAGCCTGTGGTTTGGATGGAGGGTATTCCTCTTGCTCCGACTCCAGGTCAGAGTCCGAGGAGGATGATGAAGATGACGACTCTGTCTCAATGAACTCCTTGGATTTAGGGACAATCCTGCTCAGCCCCCGTGTGCGGCGCTTCTCGCAGGTCACTGAAGAGCGGAGCTCCTTCCTGTGGCCTGTTCTGCTGTTGCCACAGGGCCTGGTTTTAGTGGGCTCTGAGGGGACCACCACACTTGCCCCCAGAGTGTCCCCGGCTGTGGGCTCCTCAGGCCGGTGGCAGTTGGTACTGTCATTGGCCGAGGACCTCTCGGTGCGCCGGGTCGGCTTCTTGCCTGCTGATCTCCGGGCTGGCGCAGGTGCACTCTCTGTGGGCACACTGGGCACCGCAGGTGGTGGGGCTGTTGTGGTCACGGCCACAGACACTGCCGCGGGTGGGGATTTCTGCTTCACTCCTTTACTCCCTGGGGCCTTGTTCGCTGTCCTGGGCCTCTGTTCCTCCTTGCATGTGCTCTTGATTTCCTTTTCTCTCAGGCTGGTTTGGCATATATCAGGGAGTTTTCCACACTCCTGCACTTCGTCTTTCACTGGGGTGTAGTACTGGTTGCTCTCTGGTCCATGGCTTTCATTTTGGATCAGAATAGGAGGCTTGTGGGGATTAACTTTGTTTAGCCATTTATCCAACTGCCACTTGTTAGAGGACGCCGGTTCAGCCTAAAAGCAGAAAACCAGCAACAAACAAAACATCTTTTAAAGAATCACTTAAAAGGGTCCTTTTCCCCCCCCCAAATCTTGACTTATTCTTCTAGGTGTATGCACAGAAAACTAAAGGGCTTGAAGCAAAAGAAACGTGGAAGCAACAGGCATGTATCACAGCTCTCCGCCTGCACACAAAGAGGCAGGATGGTACTACCCTTACTGGCTGACTGCATTGTTCAGTGGCAGAGTGTTAGTTTCAAGTCAATTTGGAAAAATAAGTGAGATAGCACTTTGCTGCCTTACAACTCTTTTTGAGCACTCTGAAGTTGTATACAATGCATATATTTAAAAATAATTAAACATAGATACATAAACTTGAGCTTCTGTGAAGCTTAATGAGAGATTACTTTGGTAGCCTTGGTGATGCAGTGGTTAAGCCTTCAGCTGCTAACCTGAAGGCCAGAGGTTCGAACCCACCATCTGCTTGGTGGGAGAAAGATGAGGCAGTCTGCTTCTGTAAGATTATAGCCCTTGGGAACCCTGTGGGGTAGTTCTACTCTGTCCTATAGGGTCACTGTGAGTCAGAATTGATTCGAAGGCAATAGGTTTGGTTTTACCAGTTTAAGTGTGAAAGCACTCAGTTTCTGGGAGACTTAAAACTTTGGGGGCAAATCTGAAGGAGGGGGCTTAGTGAAACCTATAATAACAGAATTTGAAACCTATAATAACAGAATTAACATATAATTATATGGTAAAGGCAAATAATGCACAGTCATTTAGCAATACAAGCAGTAATTTTGGGAAGATGGTTCATTTAGCAATACAGAACTCATACTTCAGAAGGGACTTGCATGTGCCTTATATGCTTTGGCAGCCTGGTGTGGTTAGACCATCCTCAACCTGCTCCCCTTCCATTTTGCCTGAGATGTTTTGGAAATAAAGGTAATGACTGACATTGTTCCCGCAAGCAGTTATGCTATCTTAGAGCGCTATCTTAGAGCAAATCAGGTACACATCACAGTTCTTAAACTCTGGTCCACAGATTGGCTCCAGGGGGTTAGTGAACCCCTTTGAAACTTAAGATATTGTACAGATGCATTTCTCTGGGAGATGTCCACAGCTTTCATTAGAGCCTCTAAAGATTTATGTCTGATAAAAGGTTAAGAATCTATTGATTTTATAGGGAGTTAATATTGATATCTAATAAAAGTCCATTTATCCAACATTGATGACTAGCAAGAGAAAAGAGGTATACTGATAAGTGTTGAACTTTAACCAGATTGTGACTAAAATGAAATGGGGAATATATTTTTGAGTGATTGAGGTGATGTGTTTTTCCTTCCCCTATGATCCCCAACCTGCTGAATTCATAGTATGCATTGTCAGAGGAAGACCAGATACTAACCTAAAATAAAGGTATTATGGCTTAGGTTTGCATTTTAAACTTGTTTCATTTCTCACACTATGTGACCACTGGCAAGTCAGTCACATGTGTTTCAGTTTCCCAAAGCAAATAACCAAAAATCAAACCCACTGCCATCAAGTAGATTCCAATTCATAGCAACCCTATAGGACAGGATAGCACTGTTCCAGAGAGTTTCCAAGGCTGTAAATCTTTACAGAAGCAGACTGCCATATCTTTTTCCAGCAGAGCAGCTGGTATGTTTGAACTTTTGGTAAGCTGCTAAGCACTTTAACCACTGTGCCACCAGGACTCCTGAAACAAACAAGATATACTAAATATAAATGGACACTGAAGGGCCTCTTGCAGAAAGTTGACACATTGGCAAAGAGCACAAACATTTAAGGCAGAGCACACCGTTCACACTGGCCCTACCACCCTAATACTAATTCTCCCTCAAACCCCACCATCCTGAGCCTTGCACAGCTCACATCTCTTGTTTGAAAGAACGAGGGCTTTGAACCGGTTCTTTCCCATACAGTCATGGCTGATCCAGAATGGATCTAAATTTGTAAAATATAGGTGTACTGGTATTATTATTGCAATGGGAAAATTTATGGGTTGGAATTATGGGTTGATGCCCTACTGGAAACTTAAACTCTGTCCTAGAAAACAAGGGCAGTGGGCATGTTGCAAAGCAACTAAATCTTGACCGGTGGAACCAGAAGCAGTGGCGCCATCAGAGATGGCGGCACGCTGCATTGCTTTGAATGTACGCCTCTCGCACAGCCCTGGCCATAATCCAATCTCCCTCATTAGGCTCTGAGAGGGTGCACTGCATCGCTCATTCCAGGTCTTCAACCCTTAATTCTTCCTGTTCTGGTTATAATTCTGGTATACCTACTTTACAAATTCAGGTCTGTGCTGACTTGGTTGCACTGGCCATGACTAAACTGGTTTGAAATGCTGGAGAAAACACAGTAACTTGTCTGTACCCAAAACACAGCTTCACTCATAGAGATTTACGCTAAAGCTTAATAGTGTGAGTATTAGCAGTGAAGGACAGAATTTAATAAATTTAGTATGAGCCCATTGCCTCATATGATTTAGGCTCATTTTTCTGCACTTCACAGCTGAAGAAATCAGTCTAAAGTACCATTTTCAACACATACCTAAATCACTCCCTCTCTCAAGGATCTACAATGACCCCTTATTGCCTCTCAGATGAAATCCAAATTCCCAGACTGGTGTTCAAGGGCATCCATCACATAATCATCTCTCATTGATAGAACATCTACAATATGCCTCCTACTTTACACATATTATCTCCCTGCACCCTCAAAGAAAATAAATATTCTCACCTTCATTTGTATGAGAGGGGCTCTGGTGGTGCTGTGGTTAAGGCATTAGGCTGCTAACTCAAAGTATGGTGATTTGAACTCACCAGCCACTCCACAGGAGGAAGATGAGGCAACTTACTTCCGTAAAGATTTACAGCCTTGGAAACCCTATGGGACAGTTCTACTTTGTTCTACAGGGTCACTGTGAGTTGGAATTGACTCGATGGCAGTAGGTTTGGTTGGAATTTTTGAATTTGTGGAAGAGGTTCAGAAAGGTCAGGTGGTATGTCTGAATCTCTGCAGCTATAAAGCACCATGAAGCCTAAACCCATGTTGGTCTGGGTTTAAAGACCCAGTTCTCTCCACTGCGGCTGTTTCACCTTATCATCTCCCACCGCCTTCTGGCACAGCCTCATGAAAGTGGGACCTTATTCCTTTGGAAAATGTCAGTTTTCAACCTACAATGATAGAATTAGAGCTGATTCTTGGGGAAAACACCACTAACTCTCCAAACAATACTTGTTACCCTCTATTATACTCAATTGTATAGTCTTTCGTTTCATGCCTATATATCTTGTCTCTTCAACAAAGCCAAATCCTTCTTGCAGGCTGGGGCCAGGCCTCTGTTTCTTTTGTATTCTCTGAAGTATCCATTACAGGTTAGGGGGAAGATTGCTATGACTGCTCCTAATAAGAACCATTCACAGTGCATTGTCACTCAAACTGTATCATGTGTGCCTTACATCAACCTCACAGATTAGGGAGGACAGGAGTATCTGCCATTCTGGAGATGAGGCAATTGTGGCCAAGGAAGCTTAACTAACAAAGAGGTACATGGCAGCACTGGAAGGAAAACTCAGGGCTTCAGATGCTTGTCCCCTGACATGCTGCTGGCTCTAGTCCACTTTCTGAGCCTATCCCGGGGGCTGTGCCCAGTGTTTTTATTTGTTTGCTTGATCGCTTCTTTATATTTTCAGCTATACTCTCCTCCCTAATTAACTCTACCTAGTGATGAGCTCTGACTCATTCAATAAGTTCACTACTGTGTAGTCTGGCCCTTGCTTCATCCATACCCTTCATAGCACTCAGTGTCATGCAGACTCCTAATTAATGAGAAGCCTGTTGAATCAATGAATGACTCACATCACATTCCTGTGACTATGTGAGCATAATGCCTAAAGCACTTGACTGCTAACCAGAAGGCTGGCAGCTCAAACCCACCAGCCACTCCTTGGAAGGAAGGTTGGGCAATTTATTTCCGTAGTGATACCGCCTCAGCAACCCAAGGAGGGGTCGCTATGAGTCTGGGCCAACTCGATGACACATAACAACAACAACATAAAGCAAAGAGCCCTTTGGTGTGTGGGATTTGAGAAAACTAGTCCCTGTGCTCTTTGTAAGGTGATTCTGATTTTCAAGACTGATCTAGGGCAGCATTTTCCAAAATGTACTATTAGTTCATATGTTCCATGAAGAAAGGGTTCCATGCATGGTCAGGCAAATTTGGGACATGTCCCAGTGGAAAACACATTTTATGTAAGGAATATAAAGGGCTCAATGATGCCCTACAGTAAAGAAATGGGTTAAATTTACTTTATCCCAGAACTCCTTAAACTTACGTGATGAGGCTCTTTTTCCCATGTAATACTTATTTGGGGAAACACTGATGTAGGGAACTCTACATCCTTGTGCAAATGTGCTAGCTGAGTGGAAGGTGGCTTGTCACTTGTAAAGCTCTGACATGAAAATGTACAAGGCCAAGAAGGAAGATAAACCCCAGGGAGCAAAATTAGGCTGAAAACAACTAAGCAAACATCAGGTCCTAGAGAGAGGATTTGCAGCCATGGAAATCATGGTTACTGTGGATTTCTATGTCAGCGTACGTACATGGTATTATTTTACTATTGTGATCCATGCAAAGTGAAGGGGCTTTCAAAGCCACAGCTATCAAGAACAGCCCATATGAAACTCAGGTGAACCCAGTGGGTTTGCCACTCTGAAGTGGGAATGCAGGTGCCTTTGGAACATAATGAGTGCCTCCTTTCCCTCATGCATCAGGAGGGGAAATAAGGACCAGACCCATTCTGCTTCAAAGTAGCATAAACTCGTCTGAACAGTGGAATATGAGGTGTATGACTATAAAGCAAAGGGCCCAACTGTATGTGGGGTTCAGGGAAACAAGTTTCATTGCTCTTTGTAAGGTGTCTGGGCCAGCTCAGTCAGAGCTCAGTAGTGATTCTGAGGAGCAGGGATCAACAGGACCATGCTAGCTCCTGCTGTTGCTACTGGATGCCATCAAGTTGATTTTCAACTCATAGCAACCCAATGTGACAGAGTAGAAGTACCCCATAGGTTTTTCCTTTTTCTTTTTTGCTGTAATTGTTACAAGAGCAGATTGCCAAGTCTTTCCCCTTTGGTGTCTTCTTAGTGCTAGCTCTTAGCTTTGTGATTTTTGGCCTGCAAACTCATTTCATTGCTAAGGGATGTATCTCTACGTTAATCTTGTGTAAAATTAAAAGAAACCTTATTTTTGTTTCAACTAATACATTTTTTTCCAGCGGAATGAAATAACATGCAGTTTGGTTAACACATCCATTGCCACATCTGCATTTTCTATGTATACAGAAGCATGGAACTGAAAACCATACATGGCCTTGGGGGACTTAAACTTTTAGGTCTCCTTTAGTCCACTTATGGGCTCTCTCTTTGATAGCTGCTGAAAGAAATGACAAGAGTCTTCTTTCATCACCAAGGAGTTTAAGTCTTTGTAATTATCTCACTGACATGTAGAAAGAATTTGCTGAAAGCACTTTATAACTGTACTTCTTTTAGGCCAGGTTTCAGCCTCATTCAGGAGCTCTGGGATTCACCTTTCACCATGAAAATAAGATTCAACGTTCATGAATTTAATCTGCAAAGTCACAAAGAAGAGCCTGGATGGGGGAGTCTTCACAGATCACTAACAATTTTTATCCACAACTCTCTCTCCCTCCCCACAAGCCCTTGTACGGTCACTAGAACTCAGTTCTTATAACTAAATATTCTGGAGTTTTTCAACAAACCATAGCATAAAGCAAGCTTTTAAGAAGCCTGCTTAACTCTTCTGCTTTGTTTTATGTAACTCCTGTATTTTTTTTTCTTTGTTTCAAATTATCCCCATTAGAATGTTAGCTCCATGAAAATAAAAACAGAGACTTTTTCCTGTCATATAATTGCTGTATCCCAGAGCCAAGCACCGTGCCTGTGGCAGATGTTCAATAAATGTTTGCTGAATGAGCACTGACTGACCATTTGAATGGAATTATGAAGAAGGAATAATAATTTGGTTTCTGGTAACAGCCAGGGGTATACCAGCTTTTTATAGGTTTTTTTTTTTTTTTAAAAAAATAGGCTTTTTATAGGTTAATGTTGCTAAAGGCCTTCCCCTGAGAGAGAGAAAGAGAGAAAGGAGGAGGAGGGTAGGAGGAAAGAGTGAGAGCAGAGCCACGTGGAAACAAGAGCAAAATGCAGGAGAGATGGCTTATGAGGGAAGAGCTGCTGGTGCAGAACAAAAAGGTGCTAAAGAGGAAAGAGGACTGTGGAGAAATAAAACTTCTCTGGTATTTCTCAGTGCTCTTGCAATAGAATAAGCCTTATTCTCCTGAGAGGAGAGGGGACGTGGAGAAAACCTGAGGGGAATTTAAGAGTCACTCTATGAATGTGAGATAAAATGCAATCACTTTTTTTCTTCGAGGCATAGGTACAGAATCTAGAAATGCGTGTTGGGTCAGCCCCTAACAGTGGTCCCCTCTCACTGGATGGGTGCATAATTGGGTTTGGTTCCATTTTAGAACCTGTTTAGAAATTTGGTCTCTGAAGTCATACAGAGTATTGTTAGGTAAAAATTAAAGCCCATAATCCATGCCAACCGCAAATGCTTATAGGCTCAAGAAGAAAGTGCATTTTATTTATCCCTTTAAAAATCAGTCTGCCCTTGAGGTCCCACAGACTTGAAAAGTTTGCTCTCAAGAAACCTCTCCGGAGAACCTTTGTGCTCTGAATTATTATTTAATCATCCCTTTTCCACGTTAAAGTAGAAAAAGGAAAGGCTTTTATTGGTACCTTATAATGTTTTTATACGAGACATCTAAATCTTCCACCTAGATGCTCATCATAGCTATAAAAGGTTTCATTATTATTTGTAGGTTGATGCTAATTTTTCTTTTTTATATTTTCACAAAGAAAAACACCATTAAGAAGGTTTTATTAATATTTATAGCCCTTGTCCTTCTAATCCATGACAAACTGCAAAAAGGTAAGATTCTAACCATGTCAAATCCATAAAAGTCCTTCCCCTGTGATTTATGGGCGCTCACACTTTGCAGGCAGTGAACTTCCCTGTCTAGTTATTGCCTGGGCTGACCCTTAGGGAGATATGATCCATAGGTTATTCCCAGCTAGTGATGTTTACAGCATACTTGGAAATTTCTGGAAGTCAAGATAGAGGTTTTCGGATAATGAAAGATGATGTTTCTACACTTCAAAGGAAGCTATACAATTAGGAGAACTGTAAGGAGGAGACAGAGGAGGGGGAATAATGAATGTAAACACTGACCGATTGTTGCCAAGGGGTGGTGGTCTGCAGTGAGTCAGCGCTCACAATTGGTTATTCTGTCATAGGACTGTGGTTTGGGGGATTGTGTCAGGGAGGGTTTGGGGGTGAGAGGTGTGAGGAACATGGCTCCAGGTCTTAGTATACCTGCAGAGAGAGAGAGAAGCGGACAAGAGGGACAGGCACCTAGTGGAGCCACATGCTGCTCTTACCTCAGGGCTGGAGAAGTGGGGAGGCTTGCTTCCCTCACTCTCACTAGAACTGCTCTCCGTCTCTGAGTCAGATCCAGAGCTGCTCTCGGAGTCGCTGGAGGAGCTGCTGCTGCTGCTGCTGCTGCCGCCGCCGCTGCTGCTGCCCTTGCTGGAAGGCACAGAGGCTCTGCAGTTGCTCTGCTGGACCACGGTGCTGCCAACCCGTGAGGCCCCAGGAAGGAAAGGGAAAGAAAATCAAGTGAGCAAACACCAACACACCACCAAACTGCCATTCAACAAGAGCCAAGAGGAGGCACACACTCTACACATCTATTACTGACCATGAACTGGAACTTGAAGAACATCAAGTTCAAAGGCATCCTAGTGGTTATTATTTGTTATTATTTTTAAAATTAGAAAATTGGGAATGAAAGTTGGTGCCCCTTTTTGTCATTGGGCACGAGTTGTTTGTGCGGCCATGTTAGAAGGAGAGGTGGTATAATTTCTGAGTGACTGGTTCTCTTCTGCTGTTGTTCTGGGAATGGCTTTTCAAATGCACCACCAAATCCAATCATCTACAAAAATGCAAGGGAATCCAACAAGTCTGAAATAGTTTTTGAAGTGTGAAAATGACTGTTTGCTTCATTTTTGCCCCTGAGGAAAATGCAGAGCGATAGCAGGGATTAGGAACAGGGCTGTTAGGAAGGGCACTGTGTTCTGCTCTATGCTTTTTCTGGCCTGCTCAAAGGTCCTGGAGACCACAGAACATTTGAAGGTATAGCTTTGCATATATCCCCTTTTCCTGCCCAAATGGTTGAGTGCTACAGTCCTTACATGAGCTTGTTTGCTATAATTTTCTTCTGAGCCCTTACTAAAGTAGATCAATCAGTTATACTCTTTATATATTCTTAACTTTAAAAGCTAACCCCAGTGCAGTGGTTTACAGAAACAGCATTCACAATTTACACCTGACATTCATCTCCATGCTGAAATTTGCCAGAAAGTAATTACACATTCAAAACCAACAGGACGCATTGATGCTTTCCAATGGTAATTAACCACAAAAACTCAAATAGCATACATCCAACCAAAGGGGTTTGAGCCAAAAGGAAAATTTCAGTACTCACATCATATTCAACATCTTCAAAGTCCTTTATTAACTGAACCTCTGAATGTGTTCTTTTGAGGTCAAGATTTAAATCCAGGAAATGGAATAATCACTTTTTAAAATGTTGAGTCAGCAAATACCTGCTTGCCACTTCTTTGTGACCACTGCTTCAACAGGACTGAGCATCAGTGAAGGCCAGGGGCTTGGGAGCTATTCAGAGGGTTTATGGTCTAAAGTGCAAAGCAGCCTGAACAAGGTAAAGGACTCTTTTCACCCACCCTTTAAATCTTTGACAAATGCTCTTCCCAAGGACAGACTCTCATAAATCAGCGGTGTGTTGTGGAGTGTGGGGAAGGGAGAGTTAATACTGATTGGAGCTTTGCGTCTCCTACAAGAATGACAAGATGAAACTATCTTGCAGGAAATTTGAAAATAAAAGTGTCTTTTTGAATTGCAAGATTAGGGGGAACCAGAGTTTGAGCATAGACTTCCCTAGTGGTTTTGATTTCTTCCACTAATGTCACGGTCAATACCTACTGTCTGACAAAATTCTTCAACATCAGACAACATCTGCACATTTATGCCTTGCCTGAACTGCAGCAAGTTCTTTTGTGGCCTATCATTTGTGTCTGGTGTTGAGTGAGGAATCCTGGATCTTGAGACAGAGGAGGGGAAGGGAAGGTTAGTGATAAAGGGGCTGTAATATTTCTTTCTTCCCTTATGAACTATAATCTATCTTTTCTGTTGGATGAATGGAGACGGATACTATCAATGGAGTCATGAAAAAAAAAAAAGCCTCTTGGATTCTGACTGAACATGAACATCTGGGATCCATGTTAACAGTTTGGTGGGTAGGTCCCCAAACACTGGGAATAAAAACACATGGCCCAAAGATTTCCTTGTTAAAAAGATGATGGTGGGGATAGATGTGGAGGACAGAGATGGGTCTCTCTGTCACATGCCGGAATGACATTTGCTGAAAACTGGGAAATTAAGATGAATCAAAAGGATTTTGATTGGTTTTCTATGATGGTCACTGGCTTTGATCACTGATCAATACATTCTACCTGCTTTAATTCAAACAAAAAAAGAACATGAGATGCTGGTTCTGTGTGTACACAGGCTTTGTATGTGCAGTGGAGGCAGCGACGTTTATGGAATTCCCCGTGGCTTATACCACAAAGTGATTTACTGTCTTTTGAAAAGCGGCACTTTAATTTCTGGGAAAATGTCCATTAAATGGTTACCATGCTGCCTTCCTTTTATGACTGCTATCCTATCGTAATGAGACACACTAGCCCAAGGAGAAAGAATCTCAGATCTGAATTGGATTGGCAGAAAAGCCTTATGCTTTTATGTTTTCCTTCCTTAAATTAGGAAACTCACTTAAAATGACAGTTTTACTGGCATGATTATTATTTGTTTTTAAAATGGTTATGAGAGTCAAGAATGTGGGTTTTTTCTTCATGCACCGCTTGTAAGGGCTGTGAGGTTCACGGTGCATTTGGGATCAGGATTGAATATATTCATGTTTCAGTGGTCTGGGTAGAGAATACAGGATGGGGGCAAGCTTGCCTGGGAGGGCTCCAGTGTGGACTCAGGGTAACGATCCTGACCTCCTGTGAAGCCAACATCTCATTAACTAGTCTTGGGGTTAAGTGTCCCTGGGAACAACTGTCATTTTGGCCTCAGTATAATGACTGCTTTGGCCATGAGTGCATGCAGCGACTCTGCCTCTGTCAGGGAAGCTGCAGCAGTAAGAGGGCAGAATAAAGAGACAAGAAGATGAAGCCAGGGATGGACATCACTACAGATGAGTCCCCAAAAAAGGATGGGCTCAGGTAAGCCAGGAAGACTCTTTGAAATCACAGAATCAAGAAGACAGAAAAAGACATACCAGAAATACCCATAAAAGAAGACTTTGGGCTTTATATATTTAAAATCTGCTGTTGCTGTAGTTAGCTACCGTTGAGTTGAGGATCAAGCCATGGCTACCTCATGCCCAATGGGATTGTGATCTGTAGGGTTTTCACTGGCTGATTCTCAGAAGTAGATAGCCAGGCCTTTTTTCCTAGTCTTCCTTAGTCTGGAAGCTCTACTGAAGCTTGTTCAACATCATAGCAACACTGCTGAAACCTGCTGAGCACCAAGGCAACACACAAGCCCCCGCTGACAGAAGGCGGTAGCTGGGCTTGAGGTGCATTAGCCAGAAATTGAACTCAGATCTTCTGCAATGAAAGGTGAGAAACTGACCACTAAACTACCATTGCTCCCATGTTTAAAGTTACAAACTGAAAAGTTTTATATGCCAACTGATTGTTCTGTCTATATAGCAAAGATAATAATAGTAATAATAATAAAAACGAGTTAGCAGATTTTTTTCCTGAAATGATAATACGGACCAGCTGACATGATGACACAGCCTTGGACAACTTTTAGGAGACTGCCTAGTAAGTTCTTGGCACCTATAACATTTTATGAACTCGGAGCCATCAATGCTGCAGGAATTAAAACATCACTCAGATTGTGGAATAAAAGTCTTTGTGTAAAGTTATGAAAAACTTCTTAGTTCTAACCAAACACCTTGAAGGAATGAGTTGCTGGGCATGTGGGCTCAGGACCACAGTTTTAGGGGACACTGAGATCAAATGGCATAACATAGTCCACAAAGACAATGCTCTGTATAGTGGAACAAAACTCAATCATAAAAAAAAGCAAGCTTACTGGTCTGATAAAGACTGGTGAATCCCCAACACTATGGCTCTTAGAAGCCCTTCAAGCCTAGAAATGAACTCACCCCTGTGGCTCAACTTTCAGTCAAATGATAGACAAGCTTATAAAGTGAACAATAACACCAGGGAGGTATGCACTTATTACAACAATCAACAATATACCCAAGGTTCAGAGGTCAGGAAGGGATAGGAAAGAAGGACAAAAGGAAATGAAACACAGAGAGGAAGTGGGAAAGAATGCTGTCACCTTGTTGGGACTGCAATCAATAGTACAAAATGAAGTGTGTATGAACTGTTGAATGAAAAGTCTATTTGTTCTGCAAAACTTTCCCCCAAATCACATTGGGGGAAAAAAGAAGTCTTTGTGTCACCAAAGCCTAGGACAGTGCATGGCACAAAATAGGCATTGATATATTGAATTAAAAAAAACTGAATGAAAACAAAATCCATTGTTGGATTCACAAATTTTTTAAAATGGGCTTAATCTTTCAAAAACATTACAATCTCTCTTTTCCAATTAAAAAAATATATATATACACATATATGTGTGTGTATATGTGTGTGTATATATATACTTACAGGCATTTCAGTAGTGCTTGTGGTGACCTGTTCCAATAGTAACAATTCTTCCTTTCAGAGAATATTTCCTTAAATGTCCTCTAAATTTCATCTGTTATAATTTAAGCACAGTTCCCTCATGGGTGGATTGTTTACTTTCTGTATTTTGGTTTCATGAAATATTTTGCTGGCATTGTGAGTAGTCAAGACCAAATACACTTCTGAGGGAGTTTCTGTGTTATTCTCAACGATCTACTTGCCATGCCTTTCTTTTGGCTGCAATGACACATTCCTTTCACAATCTGGCCCACACTAAGCCTGAACACAGACCATAAAAGAAAAGATCTGGAACCCAAATTACAAATCCTGGATCTTACAGCCTGAAGGGTGTTCCTGCCTGCCAAGATTATTGTAAATTCTGCTCTAAAGTTCTCCACAACTTTTCAAGTAATAGTAAGTTGATGACAGGCTCTCTGGCTAGAGGTAACTGTGTGGAAAGCTGTGACAGTCAGTACAATGCCACATATCTTAGGGGCACTGTATCAGTACCAATCACCTGAAAACATTTCAGAAGAGGCTACAGTTCGTTCTCACTCAACACCTTATAAAAAACTCAACAAATGCTTGAATCCCAAACCATAACTAGCCCCCTGGCATCAGTGTTCCTCTTCAGCATCCTTACCAATATTATTTGATCTGAAACTATAACCACATTATGAGAAATGAAAATGATAAAAACTAGTTTAAGGAGATTCTGTAGTGGCAGATATCTTTCAAAAAACAAAACTGATACTGTCATTCCTATACTTAAAATTT